TTTTAATACTCTTTGCGCATATTTATTAAATTTTAATGGTACGCCAAGGCATACATTTGAAATGCACGTATCTACCATTCGGTAAAGTAAATGCAATGTCTAACACACAGTAGTGACAATCTGTTTTTATTTTGAAATATAGATGGTGATTTGTTTACAAATGAAAATAGTCCTAACCCGACATTGATGCATCTAATAAAAAATCATTACTTATTATTAAAGAGTTTGTTATAATCAAATTCATCGTAGATAGATCAAACTTTGGCTGCTATCTAAAGGGCTTCTTTATTCATAGCTACGAAAAAACATCACAAGACTCTTGCACATCAGAATCATCAGAAACCAAATCATTTTGTTTCTAATCTTCTACATATTTTTGAACAGTAGTCAGAGAAAAGGTGTTGTAAAGTTGTTGTGATGATTTGACTTTACTGACGGTTTTATAGATGACAACCCGAAAAGATGTCCCATCTCTATGTGATGTATATTATTCTTACAATTGATGTCTCAGTGATGATTTTTTCTATTGAGGTAAGGCCGGGTAAGGGTTATTCTCACTTGGAAACATATTGCTAATTATATCTCTAAGTGTGTACCGATGTCCACAACTGCTCATATCAGACAGTCCGAGAGGAATATCGAACCTGGAACCTCTGATTGTTGTCCCATGGTTCTAACTACGTGATTCTGGTTAGAATAATCTAAACAATATTTTTTTCAAATATTTTTTCCCGCCCAGCCCTGAAAATCTCTCCTCGTAAGCGTCAAGCAGCATCTCGTTATGAATCGCTGAGGTTTTATGTATACTAAATATTTCTAAACACGTTCCGAACTGCTTTGTAAAGTGCTTATCTGACAATGTGTGATGTACCTATGTAATACATCGCTTCTGGCACACATCAACGATTCTCGAATGCGGAAACAATGTTTGAACGCCCTTCCGCCCTTCCGAAACGAATTAGGGTAGAAAACTTTTATGCTCTCTAATTTATTATGGGAATGGAATTGTTTTATTGCGGTTATTTATCCGCGATAAGAAGTCTTCATTTTGATAAAATGATTGTAATATATAATACCTAATATATTTCTCATATTTCATAGGGCTCGCCCGTAGGTAAGCGGTTAAGAGCGACGGGACCTGAATCAGAGGTCCCGGGTTCGATACCCACTTCGAGCAGCCTGTTGTCAGGCAGCAGTGACAACGATTTTCACTTGGAAATATAGATAGCAATATATTTCCAAGTGAAAATAGCCCTTGCCGGGCATTGCTGCACCGATAAAAAGTCAGCTCTTTAAAATAGGTTGATCAAGGCATTCATAATCGTATTCTTACTAAAATTGAGGTTAAATTCATACTTCATGATTTATTATGAAAATAGAATTGTTTTACTACAATTATTTTTTATATTTTTATACTGGAACAATTCCTTCTTACTCTTCTGGTTTATAATAGCTCAAGGCCCTTTTTATCGTATCCATATTTATATACAATACTTTTCTTTTAGAATTTGAACTTTTGGTTTCTTACTTATGTTAGGAATGGGGTTGTTTTATTACAATTATTATCACTTTCAACTTCTTTTGCTGCTTAAAAATTAATTGCCCAAGGCATTCGTTAGCAATATTATTGTCGAATATATTAGGTTGGCAAATAATAATTAAATTTTTAGGTTTGCTGATGTAGTTCAAATAATATTACCCAAGGCTATGAAATTGGCAAATCGGAACGGTGATTTAATGCCCGATATAATTGACATCACATTTCTTTGACCACCCGGCAAAAATTATTGGAGCAGATTTGGGATGTTTTGCCATATCCATCATACTGTTCTTACCTTGTACCTTCTGAGTATCTTCTGGATTGATCTTTACAAAACTCTAAAAATAATAGACAATTTAACGATGGTGTCAAATTGTACATGATTCAGTTTTTTGCTAATAAAACGAGAGTGTTATGAAAGGAAGATGATGATGCTTGAAAGATCACAAAAACGGACAACACAATACTAAATAATTTTATTCAGTTTCATAACTAAAGGGTGTCAAATCCGGAACCTCTGATCACATCCAATCACTCTAACCACTCACGTTTGGGCAAGCCCATGTTGCATATATTTTTTCAACACGAGATATTTTTAATTGTATTTTTTTTCATATCTTATGTAAAGATTTGGTCTTACATTTGTGTAAAATACGCTCGAGTTTTTAAAACATATTAATCCCCTTCTACAAAATATGGGCTATTCATAAATATTGAATTATAATACCATCCGTAATAAATTTCTTTCTTAAACCATTTCAGTCTGACCTTGCACAGAATTGGCGAAATAAAACTGTTCTCCATTGTTTGCGGATAAAAAATAAGCCACTCTCGACCAGCATTAACACGCAGTTAAATTGATTTATACGCCGCCCTGGAATCAAATATTCCGACCTTTGCCAGAATTTCCTTAAGGAGAAGTTCGTAGGCGGGCGCAGCCCTAACAATGCCCCTTGTTATATAAAAAAAAAACTCGATGACCCCACGTCTGAACTATTATCGAATTTAAACCGCTCAGTTCGTCCAATAAAACCGTTCATATAGAATTTACTATATACGTGAGTCTATTTATCAATTCGCAATGGGAAACGAATTGGCACATGATGTGCAGACTAGTCGGTGTTTCTTTGTAAGATGATTGCGTGTGCTGGCAACAAAAACGATAGATTTTGTAATCTTTGTGTTTTTGAAATCATTCGAGTGTTCTAATTAATTTTTCTTTTTTTCTCATAAACAAATTGAACCCTTTTGCTACGAGTGTCGTCCATGGACGACATCGGCTCGAGTACCTTTGTATTCGAGTGCTGTCCATGGATCACCATGTTTTAGTCTTTGGTAAAGACTGACTGGGCTGTTTCTGCGTAAAAAGTTGTTAAATTCTTTTTGACTATTTTAATGTAACTTTGCATGCATAGCTATAGATATTATAGTTAGTATAGTTATCGATCATCCTACCTTATTTTGAATAACAAGGTTTTCGAAGGGTTCTTTCCCTAAAACTGTATTTATTTTCACTGAATTAATATATCAATTATTATTCCATGGCCAAAGGGGTTGTTTCCCCGTCAGATAGACTTGTAATACAGTGTTTCGATCTTTCTTGAAAGAATAATGAACCCCTAAGAAAACAAAGTGCTACCTATCTCATATATTTTATGATGGAGGCACATAAATTATATAGAAAGAATGAGTTTCGTGAGCAACTTTTCTCATAAACTTTAGCTGCCAAAAAATGATTTATGTATGGTGGAAAGGGTTCTTTGAGATCTGACATGGATTCATTACAAGGATTAAGATGGTTGTTTGTGTTTTGAAATTTATGTTTTGATAAAAGAAATATATTAATGTTTTAAAAATTATGTGTTGATTTAATAGTCTGTCGAGATTATCGATTGTGGAATTCAATAACCTCAAAATTTCTAGATTTTGCATGCACTTAGTCTAGGTTTTTTTAATTAGTTTATATTTTATTATTAATTATGTGTGTGACTTAATAATGCTTAATAATGCTTGGTATATTTATTGAATTTATTGTTACTTTAATACTGATTTTTCATTGATAATCAGTTTATGTTACTAGCCATTTATACTATTTTGTGTTAATAATTTACTATTAGTTAATGATTGAAATTGTATGAACCCTGTATGCACTATTGCAAAACCATTTATAACAATTCGTCAGATACTATAAATTGTACAGCATATTTTTTATTTTATATTAATCACCAATGAAGCATATTATTGATATTATTATTTATTATCCATACTGTAAAATGTATGGTATTCCTCAATATTATTGTGCAGATAGTATGGACGCTTGCCAATTTATGAAATATGATGTTACCGAAATCTTGCTTGATGGATACTTTCAAGAATCAATTCATGAACATTTTGTAATCATATTGAGCTATTCATAATATTTTAAAATTGGAGTTATTAGTCATTCCTAATTAACTTCAAGTTATAAACAGTTGACTTAAAATAACTTGCAGTTGCTTTCTTACTTTTCTATTACTTTGTCAATTTCTGCTTAAAAGTTAGTTTTTTTTCTTGAGAGAAGAGAAAAATTGCTCCCTCAATATGCACACATACACATATGCGTGTTTGCATTTGTTCTTTTAAAATTGATTAAAAAAAATACATATACTACCTGATTAAAAATACATATACTAACAATATCGTATCATTATTGTACCATTCGAAATTGTAAGAATATTTTTATTTTTTTTACGTGTGAAACTTCTGATTGCATAGCAAATTCAAAGCTTTTCACAGTTTTTAGAACAAAAAAACAAGCATTATAACATCATAGAAAAATACACATCAAAATAAGATAGATGCACCGAGAATACCATATTTTCAACATACTGTTTTGACGTGTTTTGTTACTTTGAGGGAGACGCTAATATAGCTATTTTATCCGAGAATAGGCCCTTCAAACTCATTAAACCATTAATCACGTGATGTTTTTAGAGGGAGGCGGGTTTGACAAAAAAATCACAAAATATCACGTCGAAGGGAGGGGTATAGTATAGTAGATATCACGTGTATTTATTTTTTAATTAAAAATTTCTCAATTTTTTCTCGTAATTAAAAATACACGTGATGTTTGGTGTTGGAGATCACGTGATTAATGGACACCCCCACACATAAAAAAATTGACTTACACCACATGGAAAGAATTGCTTTAATATTGATTCCTGATAAGTTTTGGAATCATTTTAAAATATAAAACTTAAGTTTATACATTAAATTTTGCGGAAATAAAAATTTAAATTGATACCGTTGGTGCGCTTCCCGTTGTGAACTTCCTTTCTTCTCATGATTCACACCATTTAGAAGCATATTTGCGGCAGAGTTGTGCTTCTTGCCGCTAGATGACAGGAAAGGCCACTCAGTTGCTCAGAAAGTTTCGTTATTATCTTGTTGGCCATTTTGTTTTATAATGGAGTATGGAAGTGGAGTATACAATTATTATGTGAGGTTTGTCAATTTTGAGGTTTGACAATACACATAAATACAAGTTGCGTATTTTAAACTGGTGTTAAGCGTAAAATAGTTTATTCAAGCTGATATATAGTAATTTAAGTAATGTAGTGTCTATTTTCGCTTCAAAGCTCGGCTTATAACCTAAAAATAACTGCGTCTCAAATATCACAATGACTACAATTCATCAATACTTACAAATTGTAGAACGTGCCTGGAATGATCAGGATGGATACGTTCTTGCAGAATTATTAAGTTTGAGAGATAAACATGCTCAAAACACAACTTTACATGTATCGAAACCTGAAAATTCAGTGGAACGCATTCTTTCCCCACCTTTAGATGAAATTGTAATTCTACACTTGAAATCTGCTACTCTGCTTGGTCAAGGAAATATTCAAGCTGCTTATAACACACAAAGCACCATGACAACAGCATTTACCAAAATGTTGCAAGCGCAGAAAGAAGAGAACTGGATGCTGCCTATGATGTACACGATTTGTCTGGACTTGCGCTTACTAGCAACTCGTTGTGAAGCTGGAGCCCCTGGTCCATTACTCGAAAAAGCAGCTGAGGGTCTGATGGGTTGTTTCAGAGTATGTGCTGCTGATAACCGCTCATCAGACCGAGACACAAAACGTTTGGGCATGTTATTATTGGTAAACCAGTTGTTCAAAGTTTACTTCAGAATTAATAAATTGCATCTATGCAAACCTCTTATAAGAGCTATCGAATCATCGTCTTTTAAAGACCAGTTTCCGTTAGCACAACAAATAACTTATAAATATTTTGTTGGTCGCAAAGCTATGTTCGATTCAGATTATAAAATGGCTGATGAATATCTGAGCTATGCTTTCGAACGATGTCATCGTGAAGCTAAGCAAAACAAAAGACTTATTTTAATATATTTAGCACCTGTAAAAATGCTTCTGGGACTTTTACCGACTAGACAAGTATTAGAAAAATATGATCTTTTGCCATTTTGGGAAGTAGCAACTGCAGTAAGAGAAGGCGATATAAAGCAGTTAGATAAAGTTATTAAAGACCATGAAAGATTTTTTATCAGTAGCGGAGTATATTTAATTGTAGCTAAACTTAAAGTAATTGCATACAGAAATTTATTCAAAAAAGTTTATTTGATTTTACAAACACATCAAATACCTGTACAAAGTTTGCAAGATGCACTGCATTTAGTTGGCCAATCTGATGTTGATGTTGATGAAACTCAATGTATCGTTGCTAATTTGATACATGAGGGCAAAATTAAAGGATATATATCTTATCAACATCAGAAATTAGTTGTTAGCAAGCAGAATCCATTTCCACTCTTGTCAAGCATATCATAAGAAATTTCATTCATTGTTAGAATTTTAACTTATATTTATTTGTAAATAGACTAGACATTCATCTGTTTTAAATATATTTCTCGATTTTGATTAAGAGATGTAATGTTAGTAAAATCAGATATTGCTTTTGATTCTGATAAAATAATATGTATGTTTTAATATATTATTTTTTGTAAAGAAATTGTTTTTATTTAATATTTGAAAAATCACATGATTTTGCAATTACAGATTTTTACCCACACTTTGTAAAAAATCTTTGCTCTTATAAAGTTGACCCTTATATACTATGGTATTAATAGTTATGATGGCACGAACATAATTACTACTTTTACTTTATTGTAAAAAAAAAACATAGCTTTTTCTACAATATGAACAGATAATGTAGAACACAGAGATAAATATATCGCATTTCTGTTTTAAAAATGTAGTGTTTATACAATTTTCATCCTCACATTCTTATATTTTTATCATCTTCAACAAGAGCAGTAATTTCTAAAAGTAATTAAAAGATAACATTCGCGCGGTTATATAAAATGCGATTAATGTCAAGATCTCAAAAGACACTTTGGCAATTATTAAGACGTTACGGAAAAAATTGATTGTAATAAACAGAAAAATACAACATGGAATCACAATACAATATAAGATAAAAATAAAATTAAATCTGGAGAAATTATTGGAATAATAGACAAATGTATATTTTTATAAATATCAATTAATAATATATAATATAAATAATTTCTAAAAGATTGTGCTTTCTTAATTTTTTTTGACGGTTTTCTTTCTGCTTCTGGCGCATTTTATACAGAAGTTTTATATTTCTGTAAAGTTTAATCAGCTCTTGTTTTCATTATTCAGCAATGTGTAAATATACTTATGCTAAAAAAGATTTCAAACCTCGCTGCATTTTTTACATAATGTATTGAAATCTATTTTACAATAATGAATTACTATTCGCATAATATTTATTGCAATCGTGAAAACAAGGTATTAATTGTGAATAATCTCATTTAATTTTCATTACAATTTTACATTCAAATAAAATTGACTGTTAATACCTAGTTTAATAATAATTTTATGTATATTACACCTAAATTACAGTACACCTAAACTAATATAATTCTGCTACCGGCATACAGCGCAAATAATGATGTGTGGAATTTTTGTATTAGAAATTAAAATACGAATGCATAATTGCAATCCAATTCCAAATTATAGTAAACAATAATTAGCATTTGCAATAATTTACATTTAGCTATTTTTGTGACTTGATGCGATACACATGATTTGGCATGGTGGTTTTGGAATATAATTATTTCAATATTTTAATTTATATATTGTTTGATAATTTTGTAACTATACAATTCGTATTATTCGCTATAGAAATGGTAATCTATTCTATTGCAGATTCGCGAGTACATACGGGCGATGATTTTGATTTTGGCGATGTATTGTTTATTTATTTACATTTCAATAGGCTGCATATACACTGAATGATGTCAATTTATGAATATTTAGCTTTATACCATGGGAGCATATTATAAAGCAAAAAGCTGTTTGTACAATTCAAGGGTTAAAAGTTTTTTTATACATTTTGGAAAAAAATATATGCTTCAAAATTGATGGAAAACCATTTTGTTGTTGGAAAATTAGTTCAGTATTTCGAATATAGAAAATGTTTATTAGTGGCTAAGTTACTTTTGAACTCTCGATTTTTTTCTGATCTCACGTGAAATTAGTACATAATATCATCAGGAAATATCTTCTTCACCTTTTACTGGGCAACTAAACCTTATTTCCATAAATATTTATATTTATTTAATAGAAAAGTTCCGTTTTCTAATGAACGTCGAGTAACAATCGCCTTTATAATAAACGTAATAATAGTACCTACATTAACAAATAATTAGTGACATGATGTTATTGAAGTTATAGGTATATATTAAATTCATGGCAAAGGTTATTTTGAGTATATGTATTTTAAAATATGTCTAATTAAATTTCGCTTTGTCATTCTTTTTGTTAATTTATAAACAAACGGGCATATTGACATCCTCTTACTTGTTCATCCCAATACACTCGATTCGTTGAACCAATAAATGTTAATTGTATATATAAATTGTACTAAACCAAATTCACGTATCGCAATTAACGCTTGATTGATCGATTTAACTGTATATACATTCAATGATAATATCGAAATTCATCGAAGCACAGAATATATGAACAAACTATTAAATTTCTGAAATTTTATTAGCGTAAAACTGGAATGTATTTGCATATGATTTAATAGTTTATGTTCTGAAACAATGTGCATGGGTAGAAATAATTCAATAATATACGATTATATTGAAAATTTATTAATACGATTTTGTGGCATCATTTTTTTGCATTTTTTACTGCGTGTGCGGTGTAATTATTAAATAATGTTTAAAATTTATATGGAATTTAAACATATAGAACGGTTCAAAACACATTGTCTACAATCATATGTATTGCTTTCAGCGAAATATTTCATGCCCAATGAATTTCAATTTAATGAAATTTTTAAAATGATTTGTTATAATTAAAATAAAATTATGTTGCACACATGTTTTCATAAAATGTAACAATAATTTAAAATAAACTCTGAATAGTTAATTTTAGAAAATAGACACTTCCGAATAGAATTCCATTTAAATTAAAATTGATTAAAGTTGATCGGTTTTCAAAGAATTATATTTTGAAATAATATTTTTCCCAATGTGATTGAACGTATAAACATTACAACGTATTCAGTATTGAATTTTTGCTATCACTATTCAGATAAAAATTTCAGTTTTAAACATTTTACAGTGCACTCCAGATGTATCATCTTGCTATATATTGTACACATGGCATAAACAATTAGTCTATGACAATCTACGTTTTATCAAAATGATTTTTTCAGACATGACATCGGTCATTTCAATTTGAATCCAGCGTATCCGCCAACATTGATTTATAACTTTAACAAAATAAAACCGAGTTACATTTAATTTGTCATCAAGTAAAATTTCGTTTTAATATTTTTTCAAAGAGGCACACGTGTTTGGTTTTTAAATATCAAAGCATTTTGTTTCACATATTTCATTTAAAATTGTTATTTCAATTATACAAACTAATTTATTATGACATGCAAATATGTTTTTAATTAAAACAATAAGTACCAAAATTAATTTTACAAAGAGAAATGAAATCTCTCTGGCTTCATTAAATTTTGCATTCTGAATATTCGTACATAGCCCGAAAACGAAATATTTTGTTTCATGATAAATAATTTAGAATTTGTAAATACAAAAGGAGGAACTGTGGCATGGTGCATACCGACCTCATTCTCTGAGGGTTTTGCACAAATGCCTACTCAGTAATATACAGAAATATTATTAATGTATATTACATAGTCTTTGTACATAATTAATTACTTGCAACATTTCATACCACTTGCAATAAATTCATTTTTGATATTGAGTAGATATACTGGGGAATAATGTACGTAGGCGGAATTTGTGAAATTATTATGAGCTTCTGATTAGTTAGTAATCAGAATGCTATAAGATTCAAATCACGTTAATTCATCGTAGACTATTATATAATTTTTGAATCAATATCTTGATGTTTCAAAATTTTTACTTCTACACTTACTGAAAACTGAAAACTGAATGGCCAGATTTTTTTCAAAATATTCTAAACTTGTTTAACTAATTTAAAAATTAGCAGTAACATGTAATAAAAATTTCACAACATAATATTTTAATATTTTTCAAAATTCTCTTTATTCCTTGGACCTGTTTTACCATAACGGAATTTCACGTTCTGATGCAAGCTTGATCTACAAGAAACGCTATTATATTCTTTATACCTAGGGTGGTGCATACGCGCAGTTAGTTGATGCTCTTTTACTTGTCAACCCGCATTTATAATACTGAAAGATATAATATTCCTGTTTAGACACACTGACACAGAATCTACAAAACCGCATAATGCATCCTTTGTTCTGTATGCACATGATACGACGACAGTTGTCGGCTTTGATCATCCACATGAAAGGAATGGGCACCACGCATTTTAGTAGTGGGAATGGAAACTAATTAAGAAATGACTTCTGATTTTACTACTTTTCACTTCATGCATTATAAGTTTTTTAGCTCTTTGTTGATTTTATATACACATAATTTCTAGAACGGCATAAAAATTTATTTTCATCATACCACACATTTTACATACACGCATTTTAATAGTCAAAATGGAAACTAATTAAGAAATGACTTCTGATTTTACTACTTTCTCACTTCATGTCTTATTAGTTTTTTAGCTCTTTGTTTGTTTTATATACATATAATTTCAAGAATGGCACAAAATTTTATTTTCAACATACAATTTATAGAAATCGAAACTAATTAAGACATGTCTTCTAGCTTCACTACTATGCATTTCATGATTATTGTTTCCTTGTTTTTCATTTTGTGTGCACATTATTATATAAATTTGATAAACCTTATTTTTTTTAAGATTATATAACTATATATTTACTATACAACGTGAATTATAAATCTTCTTACTTTTTGTTAGGAATTTTCTTTTTGAAAGATTATAGTATACAGCGACCCTTGATCATTTTCGCACTGAACTTGGAACAATTAAAGTTAACGACTTTAGGTCCAATTTGCATATAGTGTATAAAAAATGATATTCTCGATGAATTACATTACATTTTGTTCTAAAATTGTTGATATATCTTCTATATATATAAAAATAAGTCGGGTTTTCCTTCCTGACGAAATAACTCCAGAACGCACGAACCGATTTCGACAATTTTGCATTCGTTGGAAAGGTCTCGGGCTCCGCAAGGTTTATAGCTAAGAAAATTAGTTGTGCGTGGCATCGTGCCTTAATGCAAGCTGCTGGAACTTCACGCACCGTAATTAAAAATTCGAGTAATGACATAAGTGAGAATTATCAGAATTATGCTTGGTTAAGTCAACGAGCAATTCTTGCCGCAAAGAATAATGATGTACACGCCCTGAATTTC